AGAGGAAAGAGGAGGGCAGGAGAGGAGAGAGAATAAAGAGAACAGGAGAGAAAAACAGGAAGGAGAGAGGGAAAGGAAGTGGACGGGCAAGGGGAAAGGAAAAAGAAAGGCAACAATAAGTAAAGCGGGAAGAAATGAAGAGAGCGTAGGCAGGTAGAAGCAAGAGGGAGCGACCGGTGGGAAGGGGAAGAGAAAAGTGAGAGCAGAAGAGGAGAAGGAGGAGGGAGGATGAGAAGAAAGAAGAAGAAGAAGAAGAAGAAGAAGAAGAAGAGAGAGAAGAAGAAGAAGAAGAAGAGAAGAAAGAAGAAGAAGGGGTGGTGTGGTGTGGTGACGAAACGGGAGGGACAGGGGACGAGGGAAGGAAGGAAGGAAGGAGGGGATAAAGAAAGAAAAATGGAAGAAGGAAGAAGAGGACTTGGAGAAACAGAAGGAGGGGAAAACAAAAGAAAATAATAATGAAAGATACAAAAGGTCTGAAAAAAGCGAAGAATAGAAAAGAAAACGAAGAAAGTAAAGGCTAAAAGGAAAACAACGAAGGTGGAAAAAAGAAAGGAAATTTAGGAATAGAAACGAACAAGAAAACGAATCATGGAAAAAGCAGAATTGCGATAAAGGAGTGCATGATAGATAACAGGACATCCAGAAGACAAAGAGGGAGAAAGTCAATGTAGTTGAAAGGTGAAATATCTGAAGATATAAAACCCAGAGAGAAGAAAGGAGAAGGAGGAGAAAGGGGGAGGGAGGAGGAGGAGGAGGAGGAGGAGAGAGGAGGAAGAGGAGGAGGGAGGAGGAGGAGGAAGGGAGAGGAGGAGGAGGAGGAGGAGGAGGAGGAGGAGAGAGAAGAAGAAGAAGAAGAAGAAGAAGAAGAAGAAGAAGAAGAAGAAGAAGAAAAAGAGAGGAGGAGGAGAAGGGAGGAGGAGAAGGAGAGGAGAAGGAGGGAGGAGGAGGAGGAGGAGAGGAGGAGGAGGAGGAGGAGGAGAGGCAGGAGGAGGAGAAGAAGGAAGAAGAAGAAGAGAAGAAGAAGAGAGAAGAAGAAGAAGAAGAAAGAGGAGGAGGAGGAGAAGGAGAGGAGAAGGAGGAAGGAGGAACAGAGGAGGAGAGAAAGGAGAGGAGGAGGAAGAGCAGGAGGAGGAGGGAGAGAGAGAGAGGAGAAGGAGGAGGAGGAGGAGGAAGGAGAGGAGAGGAGAGAGGAGCGACCGAGGAAACGGAGCCAGGAGAGAGGGAGGAGGAAGGAGGAGGAGACGGAAGGCAAGGAAGGAGGAGAAGTAGACAGGGAGAAAGGAGACAAAGATAGAACAGCGGAAGAAAAGAAGAGAGGAATGATAATGCCTATAGCGAAGCGAGAAGTAAGAAGAAGAAAAAGAAGAAATAGATTTTTAAAGAAAAATTAAAACAAACAATAGACAAGAGTAAGAATAGAGAATTGAAGCAAAAAAACAAAAAACAATGGAACACATTAAACCATAAATAAAGATCAGAACAAGGAAATGAAAATAAAAATAACACAAACCAAGAGCAAAAAAAAAAAAAAAACAAAACAAAACAAAACAAAAACAAAAACAAAAATATATATAATAATAATAATAACCGTAATGATAATATTAACAATAACATTCATACGAAATATATAAAGGAAAAAATAAATAAATCAGACGAGCGTGGCGAGAAACAGGCCTCGGCGAGCGCCTTATCAGAAGCGCGTCGCCGATTGCTTCTTTCTGCGCTGCCGAGTGTTGCGCTGACGAGCCCTGATAGTCAGCTGCCTTGCACGCGCGTTATTCCGAGAGGTGCGTGTGCGTAATTGATGTAGTCGACACCTCTCCCGTTTCGTCTTTTCTCTCTCTCTCTCTCTCTCTTTGGTTTGTTTGCTTCTCTGTTTCGTTATTTTCTCGTTTCTTTTTTTGCCTCTTCTGTTCTGTTGGTTTTTTCTTTTTTTTGTTTTTTCTCCCTCCTTTCTTCTTTATCATGTTTCCTCTTGTTCTTGTTCTTCTCTCCTTCTTTTTCTTCCTCCTCCTCTCTTCTCTTGTATCTTCTTGTTCTTCTTCTTTTCTCCTTGTTTTTTCCTCTTTCTTCCTCCTCCTCCTCCATTCTCCTCTTTTCTTATTTTTTTCCTTCCGGCTATTCTTCTTCATCGTATCTTTTTTTTTTCTTTCTTTATTTCATCTTCTCTTCTTTTACTTTATTTCTTTATTCTTCATCTTTTCTTCACCTCGCTGCTTATTCCAAATGAATATGAAACATTCTTTACATTTCTCGTTATGCTTGTTGCGCCATCCCCGCACCGACCCTGCCGCTCCCTCCCCATCTCCCCCCCCCCCTTCGTCCCTTCCAACCCCCTTCCAAACTTAACACCCCCCCCCAAATCTCCCTCAAAGGGTCACTCCCCCTCCCTCCCCTCAAGGAACCTCTATACCCCCCACCCCCAACAACCCCTCAAAGGACCGGTAACTCCCCTGCCCCCATGACCGCCCCCCTACCCCCATCCCCATCCCCTCCCCTC